ACTGCTTTATAATCACCTAGATACTCTAATCTTGGGCATGATTACATTCGGCAGCAATGTCTCTGATCGAGAGATTTTAGGTTTTGAGGAGTAGTAGCTACTGTTAAGGTCCTAGCTCCTATAATGGTTCTAGATCCTGTTATGGACCTTGCTCCTGTTATGGCCCTTGCTCCTATCATGGTCCTAGCTAATGTTATGGCCCTTGCTCCTATTATGGTCCTAGCTCATGTTATGGCCCTTGCTCCTGTTATGGCCGTTGCTGCTATTATGGTTCCATCTCCTGTTATGGCCCTTGCTCCTGTTATGTTCCTAGCTCATGTTATGGCCCTTGCTCCTGTTATGTTCCTAGCTTCTGTTATGGCCTTAGCTCCTATCATGGGCCTAGCTAATGTTATGGCCCTTGCTCCTATTATGGTCTTAGCTCATGTTATGGCCCTTGCTCCTGTTATAGCACTTGCCGCTATTATGGTTCTAGCTCATGTTATGGCCCTTGTTCCTGTTATGGCCTTGCTCCTATTATGCTCCTAGCTTCTGTTATGGCCCTTGCCCCTATTATAGTCCTAGCTACTGTTATGGCCCTTGCTCCTGTTATAGCCGTTGCTCCTATTATGGTCCTAGCTCATGTTATGGCCCTTGCCCTGTTATGGCCCTTGCTGCTATTATGGATCCTTCTCCTGTTATGGGCCTTGCTCCTGTTATGTTCCTAGCTTCTGTTATGGCCCTTGCTCCTGTTATGGCCCTTGCTCCAATTATGGTCCTAGGTCATGTTATGGTCCTTGCTCCAGTTATGTCCCTTGCTCCTATCATGGTCCTAGCTAATGTTATGGCACTTACTCCTGTTATGGACCTTGCTGCTATTATGGTACTAGCTCTTGTTATGGCCCTTGCCCCTGTTATGGCCCTTGCTCCTATTATGTTCCTAGCTTCTGTTATGGCCCTTGCCCCTAAGATGGTTCTAGCTCCTGTTATGGCCCTTGCTCCTGTTATGTCCCTTGTTCCTATTATGTTCCTAGCTTCTGTTATGGATCTTGCCTTATTAATGACCTAGTTCCTGTTATGGCCCTTGCTCCTGTTATGTCCCTTGCCCCTATTATGGCCCTAGCTCATGTTATGGCCCTTGTTCCTGTTATGGCCCTTGCTCCTATTATGGTCCTAGCTCATGTTATGGCCATTGCTCCTGTTATGGCCCGTGCTGCTATTATGGTTCTAGCTTGTTATGGCTCTTGCTCCTGTTATGGCTCTAGCCCCTGTTATGGCCCTTGCCCCTGTTATGTTCCTAGCTTCTGTTATGGCCCTAGCTCCTGTTATGGTCCCAGCTCCTGTTATGGCCCTTGCTCCTGTTATGGCCCTTGCTCCTGTTATGGCCCTTGCTCCTATTATGTTCCTAGCTTCTGTTATGGCACTTGCCCCTATTATTGTCCTAGCTCCTGTTATGGCCCTTGCTTCTGTTATGGCCCTTGCTCCTATTATTTTCCTAGCTTCTATTATGGCCCTTGACCCTATTATTGTCCTAGCTCCTGTTATGGCCCTTAACCTGTTATGGCCCTTGCACCTATTATGGTCCTAGCTCATGTTATGGCCCTTGTTCCTGTTATGGCCCTTGCTGATATTATGGTTCTAGATCCGGTTATGGCCCGTGCTCCTGTTATGGCACTTGCTCCTATCATTGTCCTAGATAATGTTATAGCCGTTGCTCCTATTATGGTCCTAGCTCATTTTATGGCCCTTGCCCTGTTATGGCCCTTGCTGCTATTATGGATCCTTCTCCTGTTATGGGCCTTGCTCCTGTTATGTTCCTAGCTCCTGTTATGGACCTTGCGCCTGTTATGTTCCTAGCTTCTGTCAAGGCCCTAGCTCCTATTATGGTCCTAGTTCATGATATGGACCTTGCTAATGTCATGGCCCTTGCTCCTATCATGGTCCTAGCTAGTGTTATGGCCATTGCTCCTATTATGATCCTAGCTCGTGTTATGGCCCTTGCTCCTGTTATGGCCCTTGCTGCTATTATGGTTCTAGCTCCTGTTATGGCCCTTGCTCCTATTATGTTCCTAACTTCTGTTACGGCCCTTGCCCCTATTATGGTCCTAGCTACTGTTATGGCCCTTTCTCCTATTATGTTCCTAGCTTCTGTTATGGCCCTTGCTCCTATTATTGTCCTAGGTCATGTTATGGTCCTTGCTCCAGTTATGTCCCTTGCTCCTATCATGGTCCTAGCTAATGTTATGGCACTTGCTCCAATTATGGTCCTAGCTTCTGTGATGGCCCTTGCTCCTTTTATGGCCCTTGCCCATATTATAGTCCTAGCTCATGTTATGGCCCTTGTTCCTCTTATGGCCCTTGCTCCTATCATGGTCCTAGCTAATGTTATGGCCCTTGCTCCTGTTATGGACCTTGCTGCTATTATGGTACTAGCTCCTGTTATGGCCCTTGCCCCTGTTATGGCCCTTGCTCCTATTATGTCCCTAGCTTCTGTTATGGCCCTTGCCCCTAAGATAGTCCTAGCTCCTGTTATGGCCCTTGCTCCTGTTATGTCCCTTGTTCCTATTATGTTCCTAGCTCATGTTATGGCCTTTGTTCCTGTTATGGCCCTTGCTCCTGTTATGGCCCTTGCCCCTATTATGGCCCTAGCTCATGTTATGGCCTTTGTTCCTTTTATGGCCCTTGCTCCTATTATGGTCCTAGCTCATGTTATGGCCATTGCTCCTGTTACGGCCCTTGATGCTATTATGGTTCTAGCTCCTGTTATGGCTCTTGCTCCTGTTATGTTCCTAGCCCCTGTTATGGCCCTTGCTCCTGTTATGTTCCTAGCTTCTGTTATGGCCCTTGCTTCTGTTATGGCCCTTGCCCCTATTATGGTCCTAGCTCATGTTATGGCCCCTTGTTCCTGTTATGGCCCTTGTGGCTATTATGGTCCTAGCTCCTGTTATGGCCCTTGCTCCTGTTATGTCCCTTGCTCCTATCATTGTTCTAGCTAATGTTATGGCCCTTGCTCCTATTATGGTCCTAGCTCATGTTATGGCCCTTGCTCCTGTTATGGACCTTGCCCCTATTATGGTCCTAGCTCATGTTATGGCCCTTGTTCTTCTTATGGCCCTTGCTCCTATTATGGCCCTTGCTCCTGTTATGGCCCTTGCTCCTATTATGGTCCTAGCTAATGTTATGGCCCTTGCTCCTATTATGGTCCTAGCTCATGTTATGGCCCTTATTCCTTTTATGGCCCTTGCTCCTATCATGGTCCTAGCTAATGTTATGGCCCTTGCTACAATTATGGTGCTAGCTCATGTTATGACCCTTGCTCCTGTTATGGCCCTTGCTCCTATTATGTTCCTAGCTTCTGTTATGGCCCCTGCCCCTAAGATGGTTCTAGCTCCTGTTATGGCCCTTGCTCCTGTTATGTCCCTTGTTCCTATTATGTTCCTAGCTTCTGTTATGGCTCTTGCCTTATTAATGACCTAGTTCCTGTTATGGCCCTTGCTCCTGTTATGGCCCTTGCCCCTATTATGGCCCTAGCTCATGTTATGGCCCTTGTTCCTGTTATGGCCCTTTGTCCTATTATGGTCCTAGCTCATGTTATGGCCATTGCTCCTGTTATGGCCCTTGCTGCTATTATGGTTCTAGCTCCTGTTATGGCTCTTGCTCCTGTTATGTTCCTAGCCCCTGTTATGGCCCTTGCTCCTGTTATGTTCCTAGCTTCTGTTATGGCCCTAGCTCCTATTATGGTCCCAGCTCCTGTTATGGCCCTTGCTCCTGTTATGGCCCTTGCTCCTATTATGTTCCTAGCTTCTGTTATGGCACTTGCCCCTATTATTGTCCTAGCTCCTGTTATGGCCCTTGCTTCTGTTATGGCCCTTGCTCCTATTATGGTCCTAGCTAATGTTATGGCCCTTGCTCCTATTATGGTCCTAGCTCATGTTATGGCCCTTGTTCCTTTTATGGCCCTTGCTCCTATCATGGTCCTAGCTAATGTTATGGCCCTTGCTACAATTATGGTGCTAGCTCATGTTATGGCCCTTGCTCTTGTTATGGCCCTTGCTCCTATTATGTTCCTAGCTTCTGTTATGGCCCTTGCCCCTAAGATGGTTCTAGCTCCTGTTATGGCCCTTGCTCCTGTTATGTCCCTTGTTCCTATTATGTTCCTAGCTTCTGTTATGGCTCTTGCCTTATTAATGACCTAGTTCCTGTTATGGCCCTTGCTCCTGTTATGGCCCATGCCCCTATTATGGCCCTAGCTCATGTTATGGCCCTTGTTCCTGTTATGGCCCTTGGTCCTATTATGGTCCTAGCTCATGTTATGGCCATTGCTCCTGTTATGGCCCTTGCTGCTATTATGGTTCTAGCTCCTGTTATGGCTCTTGCTCCTGTTATGTTCCTAGCCCTGTTATGGCCCTTGTCCTGTTATGTTCCTAGCTTCTGTTATGTCCCAGCTCCTATTATGGTCCCAGCTCCTGTTGGCTCTTGCTCCTGTTATGGCCCTTGCTCCTATTATATTCCTAGCTCCTGTTATGGCCCTTGCTCCTGTTATGGCCCTTGCCCCTATTATGGTCCTAGCTCATGTTATGGCCCCTTGTTCCTGTTATGGCCCTTGTGGCTATTATGGTCCTAGCTCCTGTTATGGCCCTTGCTCCTGTTATGTCCCTTACTCCTATTATGGTCCTAGCTCATGTTATGGCCCTTGCTGCTATTATCATTCTAGCTCCTGTTGTGGCCCTTGCTCCTCTTATGGCCCTTGCTCCTATCATGCTCCTATCTAATGTTATGGCCCTTACTCCTATTATGGTCCTAGCTCATGTTATGTCCCTTGTTCCTTTTATGGTTCTAGCTCCTGTTATGGTCCTAGCTTTGACGAAATAATGAACCTCCATACAAGAACAAAACACTATGAACGTACAAAAATATATATCATGTATAGTAAAAAAGGAGCAATACATTTTTATATAAAAATGACCAATAATTCATATTTATAGCAATATAACAAAAAATACACCTTACGGACACATCATGTTAAAACACCGGTTTCCGTACGATCACCAAAGTTAAACAACGTCGAGTCTGGTCAATATCTAGATGGGTGTCCGCTTGGGAATATCGGGTGCATGTGCGGGTGGCGTAATGGATAACGGATCGATAATCGGGTAATCGTGACTCAGTTCCAGTTGGGTTCGTTATATTCAATTAAATACCCTTTGGAAAGGAATACATCCACCTATCCACTTGTGTCACTAAAACCATTATTATCTTCAAAAATAAAAGTAAAAACTTTGTTCAAAATATTTAAATTTCAGCTTTAAATAACCTATAGAGGTATTGATATGCCTCTAAACAAAACCAACCTAAGAGAGATACTCACTAATGACTGCCGTATCCTCTTAGGCAGATCATCAATGTAGAAATAGGATTGGACCGAGTCGAGAATTTTGTGCTTCTCAGCAACATATTTTTTACTCGTCGATTTTTAAAAACTTTAGGATTGTTAGATTTTTATTACCACAATTCTTAAGAATAATGTTGAAATATTAGATCACACTATGAATTGAAAAAATAGTGTATATTTGCAAGGGATAACATATCGATTGGTAAAATATATCTATTACTATATTGTTTTTATTGATGATTATTTGAATCTTATGATAGAAAATGGCTGTTTTCTTCCGTGAACTCGGTAATCTAATTCCGGACAGTAGAAATCGAAGTACACACTACAGATTTAAGTAAAGCTAACATATCCATAATTATAGCAAACACAATTTCCAAAGATCAACTGTCAATAGCATGGGCGTTTATCGGATACTTACAATAGACAATATTTTCTTACCTCAAATTAAATCCTCAAGGTATTTATCCTTGTTCAAAACGACATTAAAAAATCCCCGATATTTATAGAAAAAAGTGTTTTTATTCGGCTAGATGGTTTGGTTGTGTCTGATTGGTGTTTGTATAAAAATAATCGACTCGCTATTGGTTATTGTTCTTATCTATTACCATATTTATTTAGTCTATCAGCAGAAAAGATGACGACATTATAATCAGCTTTTCTAGAAAAAGATAATTTTCAATACGTACCTACAATCAGCAAGATATATTGAACTGTCACAAATGACTTTACACTTAATATCGTAGTAAAAGAAATCTTCTGTGTGCCTTAACATTCAGGATGTGGATGACCACGGCTCTTAACGATTTCCTATACTTTGTAGTTCTTAGCAATATTTGTCTTTTTCTTATTTCTCTGTTCAGTAAAGTTCATTAGGTGGCTTATACATTTTTCCCGCTGACCTTTCAAAAGTGTTTCTGCCTTTCGGGTTAGATTTGATTAGGGACGATAATTCTTAACTTTGTTCAAGAATGATTTTCATTTTATCTTACAACATTTATCTCAGATTGAATTTAATTTTGTTGAGCCTGGACAATTTTATTTACTGATTCTCATATTGGAAATGAACGAAAAAAGAGATTTCTCAACAGAGCATGTTACTCCTATTTATTGTAAGAAAAGTAAATATTAAAGACGTCAAAAGATTGACAAATGACCAAATACATCAAAAGTGGTTTGTAATATTTCTTCATGGAGAATTCTCGAAGAATGATGTTCCACTAGCTTAGTGAGTAGTTCAGGTTAAATCAGCCAATCATTGCACGACGAGGAAATTATAATAATAATAATAATAATAATACTTAAATTAAGCGACGAAAAACTGTTATGTTAGTTTCTTTGATGTGTGGCTTCCACATAAAAAATTATTCTGTTTCTGAAACAAACTGAGAAAGCAATGATACGTTTCTGTCTATATTTCTGAGATGAGGTATTATTTACACTATTTACATTATTCGGACTATTGTCCTCATCTTTGTCGCCATATTTATTACAACGTTTCGGTCCTTCAGTATCTGTCTATTTTTCTGAGATGAGGTATTATGTACATTATTTACATTATTCGGACTATTGTTCTCATCTTTGTCGCCATATTTATTACAACGTTTCGGTCCTTCAGTATCTGTCTATTTTTCTGAGATGAGGTATTATGTACATTATTTACATTATTCGGACTACTGTCCTCATCGTTGTCGCCATATTTATTACAACGTTTCGGTCCTTCAGTATCTGTCTATATTTCTGTGATGAGGTATTATGTACACTATTTACATTATTCGGACTATTGTCCTCATCTTTGTCGCCATATTTATTACAACGTTTCGGCCCTTCAGTATCTGTCTATTTTTCTGAGATGAGGTATTATGTACATTATTTACATTATTCGGACTATTGTCTTCATCTTTGTTGTCATATTTATTACAACGTTTCGGTCCTTCAGTATCTGTCTATTTTTCTGAGATGAGGTATTATGTACATTATTTACATTATTCAGATTATTGTCTTCATCATTGTTGCCATATTTATTACAACGTTTCGGCCCTTCAGTATCTGTCTATTTTTCTGAGATGAGGTATTATGTACATTATTTACATTATTCGGACTATTGTCTTCATCTTTGTTGCCATATTTATTACAACGTTTCGGTCCTTCAGTATCTGTCTATTTTTCTGAGATGAGGTATTATGTACACTATTTACATTATTCGTACTATTGTACACATCTTTGTCGCCATATTTATTACAACGTTTCGGTCGTTGTAAGCTCCGTCCTTCTTTAGGTGGTTGGAATGTCGAACTGAACGCTTTATTTCACTCACTGGGGTAGACTGTTCTAGTTCCACGTGCCATGTTTTAATTGATGTCAGTTATCAGTTATCTCCTGTTAATTCCCCTCTGAAAGTTATCCACTGCCTTAACCGGGTAGAAGTTTATATGATATAGCAATTTGATATAGCAATGTATACTTACAATCAGAGCGGCATTATTGGAATTTCTTAGATACATAATAAGGAATAATCTGAAAAAGGTGGTAAGAGAAACAGGGTCAACTTTGATAAAATATTTTTGTAAATAGTTGTTAAAAACAAAGAAGGGAGCTAAATTTTCAAAGATTACTTTGAAAAACAAAAAACAAAGATGGTGTTGTGTTGAGACATGATCAACCATTTCTTGAAACAGTTTTTAATTTAGAAGCAGAAAACAAAGAAAAAGAATTCAAGTGTTCATCGTGGTATTTGAAATAAAGATAATGGCTGGCAGATCGTATCTGAGAATGCCCGTGTACTAGGGCGGCTGTTGCAAACGCCTGCTCAGGAACATTTGATTTTATTCAAGACAGAGCCTACTCGTGTTTTATAACGCAATTATGCTGAGCGGACCTTGATACAGAGCGCGTTATCAAGCGTGATCAACTGCCTGAAACAACCGTCGAACAAACAGTTAAACCGTCGATTACGATGCTAGGACAAAAACTGAAGGCTCCGAAAGACTTCCGTCTAACCAATTTCACTCAAAAATTCTGGGTTTAATCAGTGGTATGCTTTTCAGGCAATTTCCAAAGGGTCCTCACGCTGAAATCGCCTCTCCCAGACCGATAACTTCATGAAGTCACCTTCCTGAAAAATCGACGATAGTTTGATTCGACCTTGGTTCTCATGGTCAGTAAAAAAAAAAACAACGTTCTAGCCATTCGGACCGTCTATTCGAAATAAACCACCACTAAAAATAATGTTGTCAATGGAATGGAACGCTTTCCGAGCAGATTTTAAGAGATTTTCAAAAAAAGAACTAATCTTTTGTTACCAAATTATTCAAAAGGATTGATTCGAACAAGCATTGATCTTAATTAAGTCTACTAAAATAATCAAATGATGAAAAGGGTCTATCGATTATTATTATTATTTAGTTAAAACTATGTGTGTAATTATTTACATTGTTCATTGCCATATTCATGATGTTTCGGCCGTTGTACGCTCCGGAATTTCGAATTGAACTCTTTATTTCGTCAACCGTGGTAGTTTGTTCTAGTTCTACGTACCATGCCTCTTCTGGATATCTTAGTTATCTATCTTTAATTCAGCTTTCCAAGTTTTGTTCAATACTGCAGTAGGCATATAAATAGGGTAATAAAGATGAGGACAACAGTTCGAACAAGGTAAGTAATGTAAATAATTACAATAATTCATCTCAGAATATAAAACATGTATAATTATACAATATCTATTATATAATATTTAATATATGATTAAAGATGATATTGAAACAATTGCTAGGTTTGCTACTAAAATATAAACTACTGGAAATTTTTTCTCAAAAGAATCTTACACATTTATATAATACTTCCTGATAATATATTGAATATTGCTGTCAAATTTCGTCTGGTGTTTATGCTGTTTTGATTTCCTAAGCGTAACTTAGAGGTGGCACAACACTGAACGTCTGGGACACCCAGTGAGGATCGAAGTCACTATGCAGAAAATAAGTACGTGAACTCAGCAGATGTCAGTATGCGAAGATCTGATTAAGCAATAGTGGTTATGATCGTAATAGACTTAACTTTGTCCAGCTCCCTTACGCTAACTTTGACACTTTATAGGTAATATATATTTAATAAACAGGATTTAGTTTCATAAACAGGATTTAATTTAATAAACAGGATTTAGAGATGTGTGATAAATCCGTATTTTTCTCACAGATGGGAAATTGTCATTTCTTCTTGCCAGGGATCCAGAGACAACGAAATTTTTATTGTTCAATTTCTAATTTTTTGACCAATCGAATTCCATGAAAAAGGACATTACATTTATTTATATTTTCAGACGATATTTCTTAGAAAAAACTAAGGATTAAACTTTTGCAAAAATATTTCTTTTTTCCCTATTAAATTGTTGTATGGCGTGTATTGTCCGTGGTAATACCTTTGCAGCGAAACAGCCGGTCCTGTATTACTCACATAAGGAAGTATAGTAGTACACGGCTTATACCTAACACCCACACATAGTTCCAAGGAGTCGCATGGGCTCTGCGTCGGACACAGCGATCAACGGCATCAACCTGTTGGCTAAACTGGATGAGGGTAGTCGGAGAGTATTCCCGATCCGACCAGCGAAGAGGAATGCCTTACCGCAACTCACCTGCACCCAGTGGCCATGTCATCAACAGCTTGGGCGTAGAAACTACGCCTCAGGTCAACGGCTTTACCAGTGGGTGGAAAAACTTCTG